AAAAGTTTTCCATGTCATATGCCACATGTCTTTACCACAACTAAAGAACCTTCTTTTACATATACATAGGACATATGATAGGATAGGATAGGATATGATAGGATATGATAGGATAGGATATATGATTATATTTATTCCATTATTATAAAATTTTATTTTATCAAAAATTAAAGGAAAAATTTACATCATTACTCGCAGAATTACACAATTTTATATAAATACTCCGAGATTTAATTAATGACATCAATACTCCCAAAATCTTTATATGTTTACATTGCTGCTCTAAGAATTCATTTATGTTTATATCTATCCTCCAAATGTTGGGGCATGATGTAAACCTATTTCAATGTTGGAGTACTGATGAAAATGCACGAAAATTCTGGGAGCATCAGTGTCATTTATTAAATCTCGGAGTATTTGTGTAAAATTATGCAATTTTGGGAGTAATGATGTGAATTTTTCCAAAATTAAAACTTTTATTTTTTCAAAAATTTCTTCTAGTTCTTCATTGCTCAAGAATTTGGAAGTCATTTGAAGAAACAATGGAAAATATGCAGAAATCACATGACCGAAAATGTACAAAAACATTACCTATGGATAGAAACTTTTTCAGCGAAAAAGAACAAAAAAGCAAAAATAATGTCGGCAAGAACAGAATCAGAAAACAAATTGGGGAAAAGCAATAAAAATCTCGTTGTTGGAATCAGCAGAAAAAATTTGCAATCCATAGCTGCAATTTCGGGTAAAGATTTTCTCAATCGAAGATGCTTCATACCTCTAGAAAATTTTTGCAGGAAAGAGATGCATTTATGTTTATTGTTGAAGACTTGTCGTAAGATCCAAAACAAATTAAAAATTTATAAAATAACATTAGCTAACCCCAAAAATATAATCATATAAAAACTATAGTTAGGGCAAGTAAGGGTCGATCCCACGGAGAAATGTTGTACTTTTTAAAACCAATTTAGTATGCAAACACGTTGTCACGAAATAAAATAAAAAACAAACTACTACACAAATGATAAGAACTTATAAAACTTATAATAAAACTTTTAATTAAATAAATATAAAAACTTATAAATATAACTTATATAAATAAAGAACTTATAATATATCTTATAAACTCATAACAAATACTCAAGTATATAAAAGTAAATAAAGTATAAGAACGTATATTTATAACTTATAAACAAACACTTATTAAATAAACTTAGTAAATAAAAATTTATATTATAACTTAAAACACAAAGGGGTAGGTTGTTGGATAAAAAGTAAATATTTTTGGTTTTTAATATTTTCTTATTTTTTTGGTTTTTTTTAATAAAAATGGGGGAAACAAGCTCAAAAGATAATCAACTTCTCCAACTAAGGTAACCCAAGAAACACCGCCAAGAAACCAAAACAAAATGAAAAAGAGAACAAACACAAATGAAACATTACACGTATAATAGGCAGTTAGACAATATGAGCCCGATTCTATGGCCACTGGATTCCAGTGGCCACGGAAGCCACTGCCCCTCTACGGAGCTCCGTTCATAAAATTGATGATTCCTACCCCCTTAACCCCCGGTAAACCCCCCGCCAAGTCCCGACCCAAACTAATCACCCCACCTACGACCAGATCTTCCAAACCAGGTCGCCCTAGGATCAAATGGTGTGTGCAGGCGAGCTGCACTACCATGAATTCCATGTCGAGCTAGAGTCGGTGGGTGTCATCTCCTACCCCAGCCTCCACCGTGATCCTTCCTTCCGCTTCGATCGTATCCCCACTAAACCCAGACAATGGAGTATGAATTGGTTCGAGGTCTGGCCGAGACAAGCCCAACTCCTTGAAGGTGTTGCTGTACATAATATTGACCGAGCTGCCCGTATCGACCAACGTATGATGAACTACCACATTGTTGATCTCAACCTTAACCACCAATGCATCTCGATGGGGGCTAGGCACTGGAGGATAGTCTTCGTCAATGAAGACTATTGGTTCCCTCTTCTTCCTCTTGGGCAGGGGTGGCTTTTGTATCTCGTCCAGATGCACCATGTTCCTCCACTTTTTCTCGGAAGATGCCGAGTCTTCTCGGTGTTCCCAGGTGCTTGCCTCTCCGCCCGAGGTGGTGGCCCTCTAGTGATCAACTAGTCCATCTCCTTTTTCAGCGTAACGCACTCCAACGTATTGTGGGTGCTGTTACGGTGGTACTCGCAATATTTAGGAGCAACCTAGACGCTGTATCTTTCCCGACTACGGGGAGGCGCTGGTAAAGATTGGACCGAGTGAACTAGCAGTTTGCTTGCCTGGTAGCCTGTAGGGTTTTGTCCCCTTCTGAAATCCTTTCTTTTCCTGCCCTCACTTAGCGGCTGAATAATCTTCTTCTCCTTATGGGCAGGTGCTTCATCATCTTCCTCTTCCAACTCCTGGTACTTCGCCCTAGCCAACATCTCCTGGTATGTAGAAAGCACATTCCGTTGCAACTCCTTGCGCCCATCCACTGGGGAGAGTGCCGCTTGGAGCATGGCGATCAGAGCCTGGTCGTCCACTCCTTGGACGTTCCTAGCTTCCTTCTCCCACCGGGTGATGAAATCTCGAAGCTACTCCCCCTTCCGGATCTTGACATTGAGCATGTGGGAGTAGGGGAGCTTTTGCCTCTGGCTCGATGCGCAAAGTGTTCCAAAAATTTGTGGGCCAAGTCCTTCCACTCATCGATCGACCCCTGGGCAGCTTATAGAACCACTAACAGGCTTGCCCCTCTAACGTTGCCAAAAAACTTCGACACTAGATCTCCTCTAGGTACGTGTACATAACCACATTTGCTTGAAAACGTGCCAGGTGGTCCTAGGGGTCGGTCGTCCCATTATACGCCTTGATCTACGGGGTCTTGAATTTTTCAAGGAGAGGGCACGACATCACCCTCTTCGAGAATGGGGTTACTTCATCAAAGACCGCCTGGCGATAGGGATTCTAGGTGTCCAACCGCTTGTCCAGCCGATCGATCGTCTTCCATAGCCCGACTGCGTCCTTGTCCACGATCGCCTTCCCCCTTCCCTCGAATGGGCTTTGGACGTCCCTGTGGACTCCTGCCTTCGCTCCCTGAGTTTTTCTCTCAAGTCGCCCTTCTAGGCTGATCGATTGTCTTACAACCGGTCAAACGCGGAGGTTCGCGGCTTCTTCTGTTTAGGATCCCTTAACCGATCAAAAGCGGAAGCCCGCTCGAATGAGGACGACTTACCTTCCTCGTCCAACCTTGACAGATCGTCCTCTACTATCGCCTTCCCATTAGGCTTAATTAGTCGCCTTCTTCTTCTGAGAACGCCTGGTCTTCTTCTTCTTTTTCCCTTCAGATGCTGCAGGTCTCACCTCCTCCCCGACCTGCGCCCCTATGACGTCGTCCACCGCAACATGTTGATTTGGGGTCAGGGCCGCCACCACCTCCTTAAACCGATTATTCGTGATCTCGATCCGTCGAATGAGGCCAGGGCTTCAGCCTCCGCTACGCTGATAGGGAGGTGACGGCCTCTGGTGGCGCTACTCTCTCCCTGAGTAGGGTTTCCGGTGGGTTGATTAGCGTTACTTTGAGTTTGCACCATTGTTTTTTGGAAGGTTTTCTCCCGAGTGAATTTCTCGAGATCTCAATGAAAGCACCAATTTGATGGACAATAAATCCACGAGATAATCCGACTTGAAAGGCGGATCGTAAGAATAATCAAGAAAGGAGAACTCTAGAATTATGAAATTATACGCTAGGTTTAGCTTGAGGTTTTCTGTTGGGTTCCTCTCTATTTATACATGCTTCTTTACGTAATTAAGGTAGTTTACAGTTTATGGGAACTAATCCTGATGAGATTTGCGCGACCACCTTCCTTCGGCTCCTTTTTCGCAACCTAGCCGCGTCTCCTTCTCAAAGATGGAGTTTCCACGCCGCTCCAGTCCAGGTCAGTTCAAGCCCAAGGCTTTGGGCTGGCCCAGGGTCGACTCCACACGCCTACGGATACCCGAACGCCTTTGGGCACAGGATTTGGGCCGCCCGTTAGGTATCGGCCCATCAAGTGCAAAGGTCTCTTATTTAATAGGATTTTTTGAAGGGAATTTAAATTGTATTTATGCATATCATAAAATTTTTTTATCTAAAGGTGAAAGAGTATCTTATTCCCCTAGTTTCACAAAACTCTACCGCCTTATTTTTAATTAGTGCACCATATCAAACATTTCTATCGCCTAAAATGTCTAAAATATAATAGACCCCATTACGTAGTTTATTGCAGGTATAAGTTGTTTTGGGGGTATTTTTGATATTTTAGGTTGGATACAAGTGTTTTATGGAGTGCGCAAAAAAATTAGAGTGAATTTTGAGAAACGGAGAGTAGTATTTATTAATTGAAAGTTTTAATACTCCATCCGACCCAAATGAATGTATTTGTTACTATTACAGTCTTCATCTGTCTCTAAGAAGTTTCCTATTGGAACGATGTAGTGTAGAATCTTGTGACTTTTAAAATAAATTTATTTATAAATTGGTTGGGAAATAAAAAATAAAATTTATATATTTAAAATTACATCAAAAGTTCTACAAAATAAGAGATGAGAAAAATATTTCATTTCATCAAATGTATTAATTAAATCTTCTATCAAAATTATCACGTACAAATAAACAAAGGTTTTTCAGAGACTGTAATTTTAAAGAGGTAAATCATTTTAGAAGAGAAGGAATATAAAGTTTTTAATTTGAAAAATTCATTGGTGAGATTATAGCCAATAGTAGGAGGCCGGATAAAAATCTGTTATCTGTTGTTGGAAATACTTTTAAAAGAATACTATATTTGGATTTTTTCTTCTGTTTTCTCAAAGGAGACTAATAATAAATGATAGCTCAAAAATAGAAAGAATGCAAATGCATGCGCGTCTTCATGCAGAGTCCATCCAGTCCTTCAAAAATAGAAATAAATTGAATAGAGATTAAGAAAAAAAGAGTATAAATAGCCTATACATATGTTTTTACAAATTCATTTGCGATTACATTGCATCCATCTTCACCAACTCGACGAGCAGTTGTGTTAACTTTCTCCATGGCTTCCACATTCCCCCAACACCAAGACAACCATAAGATCCCCAAAAACTTCTTCTGGCCGGAAGAAGACATGGCGCCCGCCCGCGAAGAGCTTAACGAGCCCGTAGTCGACCTCGGGAGCTTCAACACCGGGGGCGATCGGGCAGAGGCCGCCTACGAGCTCGTCCGGGCAGCCTGTGGGACCCACGGGCTATTCCAGGTGGTCAACCACGGCGTTGACCTTGAGCTCATTCGCGAGGCGCGTGAGTGCTCCGTGGCCTTCTTTAAGCTGCCGGTGTCGGAGAAGTTCAAAGTGGAGAAGCGGGTTGGCGCTCTGTTCGGCTACTCGAGCGCACATTCGGAACGGTTTGAGTCGCGGTTGCCGTGGAAGGAGACGTTGACGTTGGGCTTCCGGGAGAGATGTACCCGCGTAGATATTGTGGACTACTTCACTTCCGCATTTGGACCCAACTATGAGCATGCCGGGTAAATGAATCATGAACATCTTTTAGGGACGAAAGAAGTAATAATTATATTTATGATATTGCTCCCTTTCTTTAGATTTTAACAAATATATTTTTCAAACTATTAATTAGCATTATTATTGTTGTTGTTTTTTTAACCAAAAGCAAATATGTATTATCACTTCAAACCAATAGTACAAAACAGATTATATATATGAAAACAACAATATCGCCCAAAGTCTAGTAATAAACTACATAGTTATTATTATTAGGGAAATTTGCACTAAATAGTTTTAAAACATATCTCTTTTCTTAATGTAGTGACCAAGACTCGCTACACTGGAAAACTCGCTATGGAAACATATGGAACAATGGTACCAACATTTTATTATTATTATTATTATTATTATTATTATTATTATTATTATTATTATTATTATTATTATTATTATAAATATATCAATAAAACAGAAAAGGTTGGTATGATGTCAAAATTTATTTAAAATTTTCCTTTTATCATCAATATAAATTCAATATAAGTTTATATAAAAATGAAGATAGCCACAGTCAAAGTGTTAAATCGAAGATCATTAAAAGTCAAATAAGAAAAAAAGATAACTATGAAAGAGAAATATTTTTATAATTAATAAAATATACGAAGTACATATAATTTTTTTTGGAACAAATAAAGAAAGAATGGATATTGTTTTAGGTCAAAGGGAGTACAAGCTTGGAGTCAAATACAAAGTAAATTGTCTTTTTATTCCAAAATGGTTTTAATAATAATGTATAGTAGTGGTTTAACTATTATTTTTTTAATAAAAATATAATTATTTTTCTATGGATTATATATGTAAGACATAAGACACAACATAACTTGCAGTCATCAAAATAATATAGTTGTGAACTCTATTTTCTTTCATTAAAATATATATATATATATATATATATAATATGTTATATATATATATATATATATATATATATATATATATATATATATATATATAGGGCTTTGTAAAAAAATAGATCCAACCTCAACTATGAGCTCATGGAAAATATGTGAGAAAGTCGACTACAATAACACAACCCTTGAAATAAATAAAGTATGAACTGTTTTTGAAAAAAATATGAGATTTTTAATAGAATGATATTTGAACCGACCACGTACATAATTGGATGGTATATATGATAGATTGGTGTTCCAGAAATACTGTGACGCCATGAACAAGTTGGCAATGGAGATCATTGAGATGTTGGCAAAGAGTCTCGGGGTTGAGCCTTCATACTTCAAGGGCTATTTTGAGGAGGGGTTTTCGACGTTGAGGTGCAACTTCTACCCGCTATGCCTAGAGCCGGAGCTGACCCTGGGCACCGGACCCCATTGTGACCCAAATTCCCTCACCATCCTTCACCAAGATGACCGAGTCCAAAGCCTACAAGTCTTTGTGGACAACCAATGGAAATCCGTGAGGCCTATCTCTCATGCACTTGTTATCGGCATTGGTGACACCTTCCAGGTAACTATCATAATTATATGTTATGTACGTATGTTGTACGAAGTGTGTACGTGATTAATTACAATTTATGTTAGAGACTACTTTATGTGTTCTCTAACTAACATAGTTTAGCGATATGAGCCACCCGTGTGTAGTTTTGATTGAGTTACCTTTATTATAAGAGATTGAGATGTCACCACCAGTTTTGTAAACTAGCTATAAGCGATTGAGATACTAGATCAGTACTAGATCCGTTTGTCTAAGTACTAACTAGGTCAGACTAGCTAGTTACCTGAGAGGGAGTATTGGAATTCCCACATTGGAAAACAAAGAGAAATAATAATACCATTAGCATATATAGATTGGTGAAATCCTACCCATCAACTTAAGCTTTTGGGTTAGAAAGTAGATCCCGACTTCATATGTAAGTTGTTAATCTAACCTCACACTTTGCCCGTTGTTCTCGGTCCATTGGAAGTTCATCATGGTATTAGAGCAGATTTTGGCTCATCTTGAGGTAGCCATCACGTTCATTCCTAGCGGCCTTAGCCTTTAGCCCAGTTGTCCGTGTGGAATACATATCCAACGGCATTTGGCCCATTTAACCCAAAGACTCATTTGGAAGTTCATATCCAGTGGCTCATGGTCATATAGGTGTTCCGTTGCATTCTCAAATATTGGTTTTGTGGGGAAGGGACTCCATTTGCAAGACGTCAACCGATTATATTCAAAATGACCTAGTTGTTCACTTGAGCCAGAGTTTTAGAGTCTACCTCAAATCAAAATATTGAGAAAAATATAACATATTTATAAGCCCTTTGAGTTATATTGATTAATCGTTTGGATTCAATATTTTATTAATACGATTCAGCACAAGTGTGTCTTGTGATCCAATCTAGTGGTCCTTACCCAATTCTAAATCCTATCATAACGAACTCACATTTTTCATTGAAATGTCAGATTATATGGTGTTCAAAATTAATTGTTCATTTAAGAATTTAGTTGGAATTATAATAGCCTTAAAGAGCAAACTGTTATTTCTACCTACAATGAAAACCGTGCTATTTTCTTTTTAAAAATTATTTGGTTTACATCAATTCTCTCTTTTTACCAATTTTAACTATGTCATCTCTTCTTAAATCGAAAGATTAGATGGTGGAGTATGGAGTCGAGAGTTACTTTCCATCATCTTCAATAGAGAATCATTCCCTAGCTACTTTTTGGCTTTAGAGTATTACTCCATCCGTCCTTTTAACAGTTTTAAGTTGTTCCCTTATTAACTTTTTGGAAAATTAAGGGAGACATATTTTAATGTTGACTTTTCAAAAATACTCTTGATATGATGAGTAAAGTAAGATGTGATAGATAGATTATTAGTAAAAAGGTATGATGTGATAGATAAAGTATAAAAAAGTAAGGGGTAAAAGTTGTTTTTTAATAGATAATGGAAGGAGTTAGTGAGACGAGACAAAAATAAAGGGGAAGGAGTGGGATGGAGGGAGTATAAAATAGAGCAAGTACCTCGTAATTTTTTACTCCCTCCGTCCATAAATGGTTTGCACATTTTACTATTCAAAAATCGCGGGAACTTGTGACTATTTGTGTGTTTTCATTGACTAAAAATAAAATATTATTGTTACGTCTTGTTTTGTAGAACTTTTAATTACTCATAAATATGTGAGTTTTATTTTTTATTTATACACCAATCTTTAAAGAAAATAAATTGTTTGAGACTTTACTTCACTTTGCGTAAAGAGTAATGATTTAGGGACGGAGAGAGTATATTCTTTGTGTTTCGTATTATAGTGAATTAAAAGTTACTCAATACAACTTTAATTTCGACGCTCATCATAGTTATGTAAAAAAACAACTCTATGTCTTAAATTGACTATGTACCTACATTCGGATCTCCTCACCCTGCAATTGGCGAAAACCTTTTAGGCACTTGGGTAATGTTGTTGTTTTTATAAGACACCAAAAGTTAGAGTCTACTATTTTCGGCTCAATTAGTATTGTTCAGTAATTATATTATATTTGAATATTAAAATAGTTTGAATTGTGCAACATTTATTCCTCATATAATAATAGGGTCATGCTACACTTACACCACATATTGTACCCCATTTGTACACCGCAGGCATACACAAACATTTTGATGGTTTGCACCGACACAAGTGTTGGTGCGTTAACAAAAATTTACACGGACACAAAGTGTTTGTGCATTAACAAAAATTGGTTTTACACCAACACAAAGTGTTGGTGCAAACCTGCGGGGTACAAAGTGGGGTACAAAAACATGGGGTACAAGTAGCTTTATCCATAATAATATCATCATGTTCAAGAGCATTTCGTCGCCAGCAATGCTAAAATCACGAGATACACAAACCTGTGAATCTATGTGTTTTTGGATAATAACATAACAGAAAAAACCCTAGACGAACATCATCCCTTCTAGTTGTATGCGATTACATTTAGAAAGGATAAAGATATTTGTACCGCAAGAATTTGTACCCTATTTTGTACACCGTAGGAATACATTGCATCAACATTTTGTATTGGTGTAATGCTAAGTTTTGTTAATGCACCTACACTTAGCGCTAGTGCAAATTTTTGTTAACGCACAAACACTTTGTGTCAATGTGAACCATCAAAATGTTAATGCATACCTTAGATGTACAAATGATTTACAAATTTTGGGGTACATATAACATGCTCCTTTAGAAAAATGCTTGGAGAACCACAATTGGGGTATACTAAGTGTATCCCAAGACAGAAATAAATACTTAGAAACACTCAATGTCTGTGCGTACCACATACATTGAGTGTATGCGGGTGCCTATTGTGCTATTGTGATCCTAAAGTCTAAATGTAAATTATTATGTACCATCTCACATATTTTTTAATAGGTTCATCATTAGATCTCTTTCATTTTATAAGGCCCAATACATACATATAATCATTTTATGCATAAAGGTTTATAAAATGCGCATGAAGCTAAAGACTACAAAAGAACTTTCCTATTAAAAAAGACATTAAAGTTGTGCTATCAAGATAATAGAGAGAGCTAATAATATGCAATCACATTGTTTGTTTTATAAAACAAATACCAAACCAATTTTAATTTCTATGTTAGTTTTAAAAAAAGACCTCTCTGTAATGTGTTTTATTTGAAAATGTTATGAAGATGCAATACCCTCCTTAATACTGTCTGTACGTATGTGCAGGCTTTGACAAATAACATGTACAAAAGTTGTCTACACAGGGTAGTGGCAAACAAAGAGCACGATAGATTATCGTTGGCATTTTTTGTGTCTGCTAAAGAAGACAAGATCATAAAAGCACCTGAAGATCTCATCAGCACAGAGAACCCAAGAATGTATCCAGAGTTCACATGGTCAGATCTCCTCTCCTTCACCCAAAAGCATCATAGAGCCGATGGTGACACTCTCCAAATGTTCTGCAAATGGTTCCAACCAGCAGCCCAAGCTCCATAAACTACACCTTACCTATACTCTCCAAATTGCTAGATATATGTGCTTCATCTCTATCTACCGTATGCGGTCCATGATGGGACTAGCGCCCTATTAGCCATTGTGTTTGAAACTTACCTACAAGTTTATTTGGACTCAAAGCTTGTTTAATGTATTTCGGATTTTTTGCCCCTTAATTTTCCCAATAAGTGTTGGGCACTCATGCATCAATATTTGTCCCTCATTAAGCGGAATTCAAGGGGGATAAGTTTGTTGAATATAGGTTAGCCCTAGAGGCCGACCCATATCTATATTATATCAAGAACAATAGGCCTTAAAGATTTTTTAAGTCGTATCGTGTGATTTAAACATAGCTTTAGTCCATAGAGTAGACGCTCTAAAAACATAGATGAAAACTATAGACGTCCTTGACAGTACATACCTTGGCAAATCCCGTATCAAAACCCGAGCCCAAGCCTCTAGGGCCCTCGCCCCAAGCCACCCCAATACCTAGCCCAAGCCTACTTCACCCAACCCTCATAGCCAAATTTCCCGTATGCCTACAACTCACTCCCAGCCCGCATACCCCACACCCAACCCATATGGGTCCTACCCGCCAGCCCCATAACCCCCCCACCACCACAGCTGTAACCCATCAATTTGACATGATGACTCTCTGTGAGCCCACATGGTTCATAAACACCAGTGCATCTCATCACATCGCCTTCGACCTAGGTACTATTTCTCATGTTTATTCTAAAACTTTAAATTCACCACCTTTCATCACTGTAGGTAATGGCTCCAAAGTGCGTGCTACAGCAGTTGGTAAACACACCTTTTCTACCTCCCCACCCTTATCCCTTAATAATGTCCTTGTCTCCCCTCACATCATCCATAACCTTATTTCTGTTCGACAGTTTACTCGTGATAATAATTTTACCATCGAATTTGACTCTAATGGCCTTTGTGTGAAGGACCTTTGGACGAGAATCGTGATTCATCGCTCCAATAATGACGGTCCACTCTACCCTTTACGCTCACACGATTCAGTTGCTCATGTCAATGCTGCCTCAGTTGATACGCAGACGTGGCATCGTCATCTTGGTCATCCTAGCCCGACCATTCCTCATGAAGTACCTTCCTTATCTTTTTTAAAAATATACATTTTAAAGATAATTTGTGTCATGCTTGTTAATTTTTTAACTAATACAAAAAATATATTAAAATGTTGAGACAGTCTAGTTCTGGTAGATGGTTCGTCCATATGGGCATTGTGAACCATAGAGGTTCAAAAAAAGGCAAAGCTAAAGGTCATACCACGTCCAAAGGTTCTAGCTCACTGCCTCTCAAGCTAGACACTCTGTCTCGTCCTTTCCTACAATCCCCAAACAATTTATAGGCGACGCCATGAGTGATCATGAATTTGATTAGTTCATGGGCAATATGGGTGGTAGGAATGATTCCAATCTTCAAAATTTTGATGATATTTTCAAGGATTTTGAGGAGGCAGAGGAATCAACACCCGAGAGAAACAATCGTACCGAGGATGATGACAAGACAAGGGAGCCCGAGACTTCTGAAGGTCCGGGGAAAGGTAAAAAACATAAGTCTGATTTATTTGTACCTGATGGGCCGATACCCAACGGGCGGCCCAAATGAACCATTTAAACAACTTCGGGTCAAACGCTTGGGGAATACCTAGGTTTGAGCCGGCCCATGGAGCTAATCCCGGTCAATTCCAGTCCAAGAACAGCTGGCAGAGTCAATCCTGAGGAGGGAACGGAACTGAATGACGGAGACGAAGCCGGAAAAAGAGGATCGCGCCATTGACGGGAGAGATTCCATTGATTATGCATTACCTTAATTGTCTAGAGCCGATGTATAAATAGAGGAGATCCGAAAGGGGAAAACGCAAGCAAAATTAAGCTAATAATACATACCCAATTCTCGAATTCTGATTCTTAATTCTGTTCTTACGATCCATTCTCTGAATCGGATCATTTGGTGGATTTATTGTCCATCAAATTGGTGCTCTTGTTGAGAGTTCGAGAATCATACTCAGAGGAAACCCTCCACAAAGACGATGGTGCAAACACACAGCAATGCCAACGCAGGTGTCGGAGCTCCCCACCAGGGAGAAAACAGCGCCACCGGAGGCCGGCACCCCCCATCACCACGGTGGAAGCAGAGGCCCTCATCCAGAGGGTTGGAATCACGGCTGAGCAATTCAAGGAGGTGCTGGCGGTACTGACACCCAATCGCGAGATTGTGGTGGAAGATGTGGCTGGGGGACCCACAGGCGGAAAGGCTGGACCCACGGGCTCCCAGGGGAAAAAGAAGAAAGTAAGGCAGTCCCAGAAGAAGAAGGCGACCAAGCCTAATGGGAAGGCCGTGATGGAGGATGCGCTGTCCAGATTGGACGAAGAAGACGAGTCGTCCTCTTTCGAGCGGATGTCTGCTTTTGATCGCTTGGGAGACCCCAAGTCAAAAAAGCCCCGGACCTCCGCGTTCGAACGATTGCAGGACACTCGGTCGGCCTGTAGAGGCGACCTGAGGGATACGCTCAAGGAGAAGAGAGGAGAATCCACGGCGACCTCCAAAATCGGTTCTGAGGAGCGACGAAGGGCGGTCGAGGATAAGGGAGCAGCCGAGCAGTGGAAAATGTATGAGCAACTGGAGAAGCGGCTGGATGCCCAAAACCCCTTCCGCCAAGCAGTCTTCAGTGAGGTAACACCCTTTTCCAGAAGGATAATGTCCTGCCCTCTCCCGGATAACTTCAAGACTCCCCAGATTAAAGCGTACAACGAGACAACCGACCCCCAGGACCACCTTGCTCACTTTGGGGTGAACGTGGTCATGTACGCATACCTAGAGGAAATCAAGTGTCGATGCTTCCTGGCGACACTGGAGGGGCAGACTTGTGAGTGGTTTCACAAGTTGCCCAAGGGATCGATAGATAAGTGGAGCGACTTGGCCCACAAGTTCTTGGAGCACTTCGCCTCCAGCAGAAGACAAAAGCTCCCCTTCTCACATTTGCTCAATGTGAAGATTCGAAAGGGAGAGCAGCTCCGGGAATTCATTAATAGGTGGGAGAAGGAGGCCAGGGATGTCCAAGGGGCGGACGACCAAGCCCTGATCGCCATGCTCCAAGCTGCACTCCCCCAAGAGGATGTGCGCAAGGAGCTGCGACGGAATCCCCTCTCGACTTATCAGGAGATGCTAGCCAGGGCGAAATACCTAGCATTGGAAGAGGAAGACGATGAGCCACCAGTCCGGAAGGAGAAGAAAAGCGGGCCACCGGTGGCAGAGAGAAAAAAAAGAAGGATTACGGTAAGGGGCCAAACCCCACCGGGTATCATGCGAACAGACATCCTGTTCATGCGGTGCAGTCTTTGCCTGCCCCTCCTCACAGTCGGGAAAGCTATGGTGTGCAGGACGCACCCAAATACTGCGAGTACCACCGTAACAGCACCCACAGCACGTCGGAGTGCGTTACGCTGAAGAAGGAGATGGATCAGCTGATCGCCAGGGGGCCGCCTCCTCGGTCGGAGCGACCATCCTCAAGTAACCAGACCTAGAGGAGACCCAGGGCCGGCCCATGACCTGTGCAGCCTGTGCAATTGCACAGGGCCCAATAAATTTGAGGGCCCAATTTTTTTTTGATAGTAACACACCCTAGTGACCCCTAGTACCATCAATCTTCCATACTTTCTCTTTTTTTTTTTTTAATTTTCTCTTCCGATGTCTTCTTTAAATCCTTATTTACTATGTACATTGTTTAGTCTATTATCATTTTGTTTAGTTGCTATTTTTTAGCCCAATGAAAAAACAGTACCATAAATTATTTATTAATTACATTACAAAGTAGAAATCAATAAGAACATTATTTTTCATTTTAACTATTTTTCAAAGAATTAATCATTAACTTAATCTATGTAGAATCAAAAGATATAAAGAAACGTTCAAAAAAATATATAAAGAAATATTTTTATGTAAACTTTTACTCCATAATCAGAGTTTTTTTATTTTACATTTTCATTGTAAAAAGTACTCTATATATAATTAATATTTGTTTCATAAAAGATTATTCATATAGTTCAACTTTTTTTAAATAGTCAAATTAGACAAATTTTAATCATCATTAATATAAATATTGTACTTCATATTGAATATAAGTATGAACGCAAGTTATTAGATTTATCTTGTGTCAAATTTTTAAAAATTTATTTTCATTGTATTAGTATGTCTTACAAATTTAATATAATTTGTTTAATTTAATTCAAAAAGGTTTAGATGAACAAATAGTCTCAAGAATTTAAAATTTACAAATATGAAGTCACATGGAGCCATAAGTTTTAATTTGCACAGGGCCTACATTTATAGCAGGAGAGGGGCAGGAGGATGGACGACGGCATCTGGGGAGAGATTGTGACGACCTAGATGAGGAAGAAAGGCAGGGCCGCCGACACCTAGGGTGTCGGTTCATCATGGGAGGCAACACCAGAGGAGATTCGGTGTCCTCACGAAAGAAATGGAAAAATATGGTGCATCTGGCTGAGGTACAAAGGCCACCGCTACCCAAGCGGAAGAAGAAGGAACCCCTGATTTTCACAGACGAGGATTACCCACCAGTCCTCAGCCCCCATAGAGACGCACTGGTGATAAAGGTGGAAATCAATAATGTGGTCGTCCACCGTACGTTGGTCGATACTGGCAGCTCGGTCAACGTTATGTACAGCAACACCTTTAGGGAGTTGGGGTTGTCTCGGAGCAACCTGAAGCCAATCCATACGCCGCTGTCAGGGTTCACAGGAGATACCATTGAAGCTGAAGGAACTATCACGGTGAAGGCCGGGGTAGGAGATGGCACCCACCGACTCTGGATCGACATGGAATTCATGGTAGTGCAACTCGACTGTGCACACCATTTGATTCTGGGGCGACCAGGGTTGGAGGACCTGGAGTGCGTAATCTCCCCCGTCCACCTGTGCCTGAAATTCAACACCTCCACAGGGGTGGGAGTGGAAAAGGGGAACCAAAGCTTGTCTCGATCGTGTTATGTCAGGGCGACAAAAAGCCAGGCACGAGTCGATGAGAACGTGAGCACAATCTGTGCTGCGATCCAGAAGGAGGAGGGGCGACCTCGAGCTGAGCCAGCGGACGAGATTGAAGAAGTCACCTTATACCTGGCCAAGCCAGAGCAGAAGGTAAAGGTAGGTAAAACCCTACCGCCCAGGCTAAAGGAGCAACTATTGGAGGTCCTTCGAGCATTCAAGGTGCTGTGGGTTGGGGCCCAGAAGACATGCCCGGGGTTGACCCAAAGATCATCTGCCATAGGTTGGCAGTAGACCCGACCCACAAGCCGGTTAAGCAGAAGAAACGTTTTCTTTCTTCGGAACGAAGAGAGTTTGTCACCAAACAGGTGACAACCCTGCATTCCATTGGGCACATCCGGGAAGTCTGATATCCGGAATGGTTGGCGAATGTAGTCCTCGCACCCAAAGGGAATACCTGGCGGATGTGCGTCAATTACACCGACCTAAATAAAGCCTGCCCAATGGATCCTTTCCCTCTCCCCAACATTGATCAGTTGGTTGATGAGACGGCAGGGTGTGAGTTGATGAGTTTTATGGATGCATTTAGCGGGTATCATCAAATCAAAATGTCTGCAGCGGATGAAGAGAAGACCGCTTTCGTTACCCCTAATGGGGTGTACTGCTACAGGGTAATGCCATTTGGCTTGAAGAATGCCGGAGCGACCTACGCACGGATGGTCAACAAACTGTTCGCGCTGGTGTTAGGGGGATGTATGGAGGCGTATGTGGACGATATGATCGTCAAGTCCAGGCAGATGGAGTCCCACGCCGAAGATCTGGAGAAGGTCTTTAAGATCATGAAGAAGTTCCAGCTCCGCCTTAACCCCAAGAAGTGTACGTTCGGGGTTCAGGGGGGCAAGTTTCTAGGACATATGGTTAGCCGAAGAGGGATTGAGCCTAATCTGGAGAAAGTGAGGGCAATCTTGGAGATGGAGCCTCCGCGGCAGCTCACTGGCAGGATCGCTGCTCTCAGTCGCTTCTTGTCGAAGATAGCTGATCGAGCGGCACCTTTCTTTCAGACCATTAAGAAGAACAGAGGGTTTATCTAGACCGAAGAATGCCAACGGTCCTTTGAAGGGTTGAAGGCATACCTCCTCTCCCCACTGGTGCTTTCGAAGCCAGAGCCCGGAGAAACCCTATTCCAATACTTAGGAATCTCTCCTCGAGCTGTGAGCTCGGTGCTTGTGAGGGAGGAGGAGGGCGCACAGCGACCTGTGTACTATGTGGCCCGGGTGCTGCGAGGGGCAGAGCTGAGATATACAAACATGGAAAAAACGATTTTCGCGGTGGTATGTACAGTGAAGAATCTCACCCCATATTTTCAAGCCCATCCGGTCCATGTGTTATCTCAAATTCCTATTGGAACACTTCTTCGAAGCCCAAATGCCCCGTCGTGGGTCAGCAAGTGGGGAGTGTCCCTGGGATCTTTTCAGATAGAGTTTAAGCCACGACTGGCGGTAAAGGGGCAGGCATTGGCAGATTTCGTGGTAGAATGCACTGCAAGAGAGGTGGAATCCAGTGGAGAAGAACCCGAGGGGAACTGGTGGACTGTGTACACTGATGGTTCGTCCGCGACTGATGCTTCGGGGGAGGTGTCGTGGCAATATCACCGGAAGGGTTCAAAGCATACTACTCCGTGAGATTCCGGTTCAAAGTCTCAAATAATGAGGCTGAATATGAGGCGCTGCTTTGCGGTTTGAGGCTGGCAGCTTCATTAAAAGCTGAACGAATTCAAGTCCGATGTGACTCCAAATTGATAGTAGGCCATGTCACAGGAGAATTTTGAAGCCAAGGATGAGCGAATGAAGAAATACAGGGACACTGCACTGGAGTTGCTTAAAGCATTCGGGGCATACTGGATAGAGCAGGTTCCCCGGGAAGAGAATGCCGAGGCGGACATCCTGTCAAAGCTTGGCCCGGATTCCCCAAAACATATCAAGGCCATGACCCAGGAAGAAGAGTTGCTCGAGCCAAGCATCAGTCCCGGACAAGTGCTGGTCATCACGCTCAAAGAGCTGGCAGATTGGATCGATGAGATTACCATGTACATCCTTGACGGGTCGCTACCTACTGACCCAATCGCAGCAAAGGTGGTGAAACGACGTGCACCTAGTTACACGCTGGAGTGCGGTCGGCTGTACAAGCGATCGTACAATGGTACATTATTAAGATGCCTAAGAAGGGACGAGGCGTAGAAGTTAATGGAGGAAATCCATGAAGGGATATGCTCAGCACATCAGGGAGCTTTCACAATGTCCAGAAAGGTGACCCTACAAGGATATTTCTAGCCGACCATCATCAGAGATTGCGCGGAATACGTGCGTAAGCGCCAAGTTTGCTAGGAGTTTCAAAAAGTGCCGGGGCGACCAGCAACGAATTATACCCCGACCAGTACGGCGATTCCCTTTGCTCGGTGGGGTATCGATTTGGTCGGCATCCTGCCCAGGGGGACAGGGAACAACACGTACCTGGTGGTCGCGATTGACTACTTTACCAAGTGGGTCGAGGCTGCCCCCGTGCCGACCATCACGGAAGAACAGATGAGGAAGTTTGTATCCAAGCAAATCTTGTGTCGAGCTGGGGCATAAAACACAGCTATGCAGCGGTCGGGCACCCCTAGACCAATGGGCAGGTCGAGAACACTAATCGTACCATCATGGATGGCCTGAAGAAGAAGATAATGGAATGTAAAAGCGCCTGGGTGGAGGAATTGCCTTACATCTTGTGGACCTACAGAACTACCCCGAGGAAGGCCACAGGCGAAACTCCGTTCTCACTCACATATGGGTTTGAAGCGAGGGCCCCAGCGGAGACCTCGTTGCTGAGTTATAGAGTGGAGACATTTGATGCCTAGGAGAATGAAGAAAACCTAAGGGCAGAGCTGCACCTCATTGATGAGCGAAGAGAAAGGGCGTATATACGGGCAGAGAACTACCGTCGGCAGGTCAAGTCATATCACAACCAGCGGGTGCGACCAAGGCCGTTCAGAGTGGGCGACTGGGTCCTTAGGAAAAGGGAGGTCAGTCGGCCAACCGATGGAGGGATGTTTGCTAAGAGCTTCGAAGGGCCATATATCGTGAAGGAAGCGTTGGCCGATGGGACGTTTAAATTACAAACACCAGCTGGAGGTGACGTTCCGCGAGTATGGAATGCCTCCAATCTTATGAGATTTTATCAATAGATTGTATTCCGGCCGTGTTTTTCTTTTTCAAAGTTTAATAGAACCAGCATTCTGGAGTATCTTTGATCTCAATTCTCGAAAAACAAAAAGAGAGAGCGACCAAAGAGATCGCCAATTGAAGCTGCATGGTGGTTCACACTAGGACACCCGTCAGGGGATGAAGTGCCGAACCTTGTAAAGCGACCAAAATTGAGGGCTTCCAAGGAATGTCTGCCTCCCAGTTGTCAGAGCGATTATGGGGGCGACACGACTAACCAGAGGACGACGCTGTGGCGAGAAAGCCTAGAAAAACGGCTAAGTCCGGAGCATAAGATCTGCTGATCGCATGAGCGACCAGCGGGCCCTGAGGTATGGCGACGCCATAGGGGTTCAAATAACCCAAAAATGGCTAAGTCAAAAGAGGCGAAGGATTCTCTAATTAAGGTTTGAGGAAACCTAAACGCCTAAAACGAGATGCGAAAGAGAAGGAGATGGAACTTGTAAGTAAACAGATAACATCAAAGTACATTTATGGAAATGTTCATTACATTCCAAGGATTATCTCTTCCATCTACTACAATACAATTGAGAACAACCTCTACATACTTCCAAAAGAAGGGGTATTTTCCCATACGTTTCTTACAAGGAAAAAGAAAAATTTAGAACTTTGTGAGCAGCTGAGGCCCAGAAAGGACGAAGGATCCAGGGGAAACAGGCAAGGTTGAAAGGTAGTTCTGCAGCTGTATAGGCCGATAGAACTCCGATCACCGGCCGTCCAGAGCGACCACCTTTCTTCCCCAACATGGAACAGGAGTGGTCGCCCCAGCCGTAGCAAAAACCCACCGTCCTTTTCCTGCAAGGGAAGGAAGGGAGGCGACTCACTTTTCTGTGAGCCCCAATCGGCATCACTTAGACGAGGATGCAGACCCTGAGGTCGCTCGTGCTACCCCAGATCGCCTAGGAGCCTTCCAGGGAGGTGAGCTGGCCCGTCGGAAAGATTCAGAGAAATAGGAATTGCTTCAGACATGACAAAAAATGGAGATAGGGAAATGCTTGCTGGTGGGACAAAACGAAGGCCAGGGGGGCTTATATATAAGCTCAGGCGGGGAAACCGAAGGGACGGTCAAGTCCCAAGGCAGCTGAACCGATAAAGCAGCCTTGAGCCGCGTGAAGGTCCAATCAGAGATAGCAAGGGGCATTGGGTCCGCTGGGCGGCACGCTGGCCAATCCTGGGTTTAGGCCTATTGGGCTGAGATTAAAAGTCGGGCCCAAACAAAATCGTCTATGTTAGCCAGCTAAACGAAAGAAAAGAGTACTGAAGTAAAGCGCGGGGAAAGAGAAGTATATGGTAAACCCAACAAGTCAAATAACATAGGAGCATTGTATCAAAACGACAAATCATTCCAAAAAATCACAAGTGTTTACAAAACTGAGAGAGAATAACAGGGGAGGTTAGACGCTCGAGCCGGGGTTTCCACCCGCCTTGGACGTGGCTAAGCTGGCCCCCGGTTTCTGGTCGCCCTGACCATCTTCCTCTTCTTCTTCTTCTTCTTATTCTTCTTCTTCTTCTTCTTCAGAGGCACTCGAGCTCCCTCCGTCCAAGTAAGGGCTGGGGTCGAACTCGACCAAAGAGCGACAGGGAGGAGCAAAGCCGAGGTCGGGGAGAGAGAATCCTTTGGGGAGCTGAGCCAGTCTGTCACGGAAGACCTGTTGGGCGCGGAAGAGTCCACAATTGAAGGACTTGGTCCCCTCATTGACCATCCATTGGGCCCTAGGTTCAGTTTTGAGCCATTCGGCTGTCAGCTTATCTATCCGCTCAAGAGCGACCATTGTAAAATCAGGAGAGGACTTAAAGGATTCTACCGCTTCCTCTGCGTGGCGGGCCCGATCGCTCCTCTCCATCTCCAACTGCTGGATCAGGTCGGACTTCTCCCCTTCCAGCTCGACCACGCGAGCAGAGACGGATTCTACCTCTGAGGACAAGGAGGCCTTGTCTGCCTCAAGAGCGATGCAGCGGTCCTCCTGGGAAGCTTTCTCCACTACAAGCACGGCGCAACGATTCTCTCTCTCCTCCAACTCCCCTGTGAGTCGAGCGACCTCTTCCTGCAATTCCTTCTGCTTGGCCTCCGCTGTTTTTAACGCCTCGCCCAAGGCAGCTTGGCGGCCTCGTTTCCTGCCGACCACCTTAATCATCCCCAGCGTGGCCTGCACCAAGGCATGAGGGTTAAGAACGTAAAAAGGAGGAGGGATGCAGAGAAAATCATAGCAGGTACGTGGCATAGCCTCAAGAGGACCATGTTGTCAAGGTCGTCCTCAGAACCGGCTAAGATGCGGGCTTGGTCCTCTGCATGCAGAGTGATCAAGGTCTACAGCTGCACCTCCCCTAGGCTCTGGGGCGGAGGAGGAATGCAGAGCCTCGTCGAGCGACCCCCGGTCACCACCTCATAGGTCACTACGGGCGACGAAGGAGGTCGCTCCGAGGCAACACCCTGGGACGACCCAGCGAGGTCGTCACCCGGCATCACCGAATGCGGAGGGGACTGGCCCGCCATTGTACCCGTTTCTAGGGTAGCATCATCTTGGTCCTCCACCACAATTACAGCCGGCTCTCGGGGAGGACTTTCCCCTTGGTGGGATGAAGAGCGTTTGCCCTGGCCCTTCGTTCCTCTCTTTCTCTTCCTCCCTGCTGTGAAGCGACTGAGCAGCGGGTCGCCGTCCATCTCTTCTCCTGAATCCTCTAATTCAACTGAAAGCCGGAAACATGGTTAGCTCCAAAGGAGATAAAATAAAACATTTTGGCAAAAGAAAAAGGTCTATTACCAAAAGGACCACAGTCAAGACCTTCCTCAGGAATGTCCCTCAGCTGGTCAGGCTGGTGCCCCCCGGGAATGTCCCTCAGCAGGTTGGGTTGGTGACGAAGCTCATCCTGGACAACTCAAACCCCAACCCGGCAAGGGTTTCCTCTGTCACCACCTCTTTGATGTTCATGACTCCCTTGTTGCAGAGTTGGCGAGTGATGGACAAAAGGGTGGCATCAGACAGAGGGCATGGGATGCGACGGAAGGAGGGGCGCCCTGAACCTGTGAAAGGAGATTCGGGCCCCGTCAAGACGAAAACAAAGAAAGGCTTCCAGTCCTTGGTTGACCCCTTCTTGTCACTGGCGAAGAATTTACTGGACCTCTGGGAAAGGCTAGCATAGGACGCCCAATCCTTGTGGCCTTTGGTCAGCTTAAAGGTGAACAAGAAGTGGTACAAGGTGGGCTTCACCCCTACAGCCTTGCACCTAACCAAGTAACCGGCGATATACCGGTGAGAGTTGGGGACCAGTTGGCAAGGAAGGAGGTCCACCACGTTGAGGAACTCAATCAATAGTGGATGGAGGGGGAATCGCAGCCCTTTCTTCAGGGACGCCAGATGGACCGTGAAGAACCCCGAAGGAGCGTCTAGAGCAGTCTGGGTCCTGGTAGGTCTTTGAACCTCGATTGAGGGTCCAACCATGTTAGTAGCATCGGCGAAACCCCGGTTAGTAATCTGGCAATGGCACAACGCCATTATGTTCTCGTCCAATTTAACCCTCGAGCCCTCATTCACCGGGGTCGGGGAAGGAAATTGCTTCCTCAATCGGCGCCGCTTTTGGCTAGGCACGGCCGACGGCGACGGCCGAGACGATTGAGTATGGCTTGGGGTGCGGCCAGAGGCCGATTGATTGGCTTGGCGAGAATTAGACGATGGGGTGGCCGAATCGGAATCAGAAACAATCATGGCTGCGAGAAAGGGAACTAATCTGGAGCAGAAACAAACGGGTCGGGTAACAGCGGAACCACGAACAGATGATGATGAAGAAGGCAAAAGAAGAAGACGGCGTCCAGCGGCGGTTTTAAACTGACAGTGGGAAGGCGAAGCAGCAGGTCATGATTGTATTCTCATGGAGATCATGCCCAAACGTCGCGCGAAAGCCAAGGAATGGCCCGAATCTAGGGGTGAGCAAATTAACCGGACCGACCGCGAAACCGAAAACCGAAAACCGAAATAACCGGAAGTTCGGTTTCGGTTTCGGTTTTCATGTAAAAATTATTTTCGGTTTTTTCGGTTTTTCGGTCAGTTTTCGGTTTTTTTGTAAGAAAAACCGAACCGACCGAATAACCGATGATTTTATTTTAATTTATTTTTTATTTTTTAAAATAAGAAAATATTTGATTAACACACATGCTTTCTTTTTTACTCTTTCATGGAAAACTTTAATGTTTCACTTTTAAAAAATTTATTTGTG